GGGGCAGGCCGCAACCAGCGGACATGCGGCCGAATCGAGTAGCAGAGGTCAGGATGCGGGAATAATCAGCTCACTCCGCATGATGGAACATCGAATCACTCTCCAGGAAATTCAGCAGGCTGAGATGATGGAAATGATGCAGCGGATGCATAAGCAGCAGCAGCAATATTGGGCCTACGCCGAGCAACGAGACAACGCCTTGAAGAAATCTCTTCAGAAAAACTTCACCAAGCCGGTGATCCCATTCCCTGAATTTCCCGAAGAGGTGCTGGAGCTCGTTGTTTCTGAGGACAGTGCCTCGGTCCAGCCAGAGGAAGAAGAAGAGGAGTAACAGGGTAGGCGCCCTGCCTACCCTGCCCAGGGAGTATCAATTTTCTGCCCCATTTTTGCTTTGTCTATATTTCAGTTGTTTTTAGTATCTGTTTGTTCTTGGTAGTTTGTTAGTTTTTCCCCCAAGCAGTGAGGACACTGTTTCCTTTAAGTTTGGGGGTGGTTAACAGACTTGTGTAGATTTGTGTTTAATGCCCGTTGTTTGAGTCTGTTGTTTAGTAGCATATGTTGTTTTCAAAAAAAAAAAAAATGAATAAATGCTTTGGTCTTGCTGCAGTTGTGTTGGTCTAAGGATATTCAATGAAAAATGCAGTGTGTCAAAAGTTTTAGCTTGTATAACAATTTGGCAAGAATTAAATCTTGGTGATATCTGTGGTTAAGTAGCTCCATGAATGTTATCATGTGAAATTTAGCACGTTAGATCATAGCACAGTTGTCCAGTGGAAAGCCTAGGAAGTTTTGAGTCATTGTGAGAGCTTAGGGTCATAGAACTGATTGTGTGATGCCCTTGAAGTTAAGTTCAGGGGGGGCCAAACGTTTAGGGTAAATCAATGTTGAAAAGGGTGGAAGTGTATTTGCTAAAAAAAAAAAAAAAAATCTATACTCTACTATTCCGAGCCGCCTAGTAACCAGGAGTAACATGAGCCCCATGTGTACTTTTGCGTCAAACAGCAGTTCGGGATATGAGTGTGCTAAAAGCAAATCTGGTTTGTGACGTTGTTGAGTAACCGGGTGCCTTCATCACCAATGTTGGCATTCGCGTAAAAAGGCAGCAGGGA